AATTGCTAACTTTGACATTACGATTGTAGTGAAGGCTGCTATCAATCATCCTGTATCTTGTATATAAAAAAATTGATTATGTAAGGAATGTTTTTGCTGATCGGTGGGCCGTAAATGTGACGTATTGCTTTAAGTCACTGAAAAGAGCTCCTTTTAAGCAGCGTATGAATGAGCGTCTCTAGCGAGTCGTGTGAATGGATCTCCAAAGTACGAGAAAACACAGACTGACAGAGTTCCAGGGACCAGACAGAAAGTGAGCAGCTGAAACAGTAAAGAGATTTTCCACCGTGGCAAAGTGGGGCTAAAAGAAGGTGAGGGAGGTTTCTTAATCGGGGTGAGGGAAAACACTGACAGAGGGAGGTGTGGAGAAAGACACAGAGCGCACTATTAAAGAAGAGCTGGAGTGCCATGAAAAGTAGAAAACAACAGGATGATTCGGTGTGACGAGGAGAGAAAAAGGAAAACAACCTGTGGCCTCGTTCCACAGCGCTCCGGAGGGACTGCTGCAGACACAGAAGGCCCGGCTTACTCTCTCACAAACACACACACACAGGTTTTTCTTTGTGTGCGAGGATTTTAAAAGAAGTGGGAACAGGCAAATATCCTCATTTGAAAGATTTCCATGATCTCCCTTTCCCTCTGAGGACAAATGTTCTTCACAAGGCTGCAAACACAAGAACACCCACTCGCTCCCAGCATCCTCTCTAATTACTCCAGTCATTACCAGTGGCCAATGAAGACACTAGAATACTAACAGTTTACTAATGGCATGATAACTGTAATTAGAACATCCTGCTGGACCCACTAATTGTCCTTTCCCTTTTACAGATGAGAGGAGAGAAAGAGAAGGGGCGACTGTGCCAAAGGTTAATTGGGTTAATGTTTATTCGCTCATTGCAGCTAGGTTGTTGATGTCGATGGAAAAACCACTCTGTTTTTAGGCTATCATTATTCTAATGACTGGGAGACTAATGTCATCGTGCTTGATGCATGTGATTTTTGTTTCTCTTCTAGCTGCACGGCTCAGTGGCATGTAATGCATTTGTTTTTGTTTGTTTGTTTGTTTTAAAAAACTGGAAAAAAAGCCGCCGTGGTGATCTGAGTCCCTGATGAATACGTGTAACGCTTAATCCTGAGGCCTGGTGGAAAACACCTGCTGCCTGCAAGACGATTAAAATGAAATCAGTGGAAAGGCTCTAAGGTGTCACCTGCACCAGCTCGGCAAACTCAGCTATCTGATAAAATGTTTTAATAAACCTGACCATCACAGGCCAACGCAACGCTTAGTCCGATCTGTTCCCTGATATCTGTAAAGCAACATTTCATATTCAGTGTCAAACATCCCTTTATTATAATGTCATTTTATACTTATCAAGATCACATGAAGAAAATTAAATCCTTCACCTTCAGTGTATCATAATACGAGTACATATTTATTAATAAAATGTGCAGTACGTTGCCCAGAAACTCTCTTGTGCGTTTCAGAGGAGAAGAATAAATCTGGGTTAGTTTACTGCAGGTGGCTCCACTCAACTACTGCTTCACACTCTGCTGCCTTCCTCTTATTTCACTAATGCCCCGTAATACTTTCTCCCTTTCATTTTCTCTCTTGCGCACGTCCAAACTCTCCTGATTTCTTGCTCAATGCATCTCTTTCATTTTTTTTATTGCTCCATTTTTTGTGTGGGGAGAAAAGTTTCCAATTCATGTTGGGGAAAGCTCGCACGTTACACATAATCCTCTGTTTTCCTTCCCTCAGAATCAGTGGATCAGTCGACAAATATGACAGAAAAGAATAACTCAAAACAAACAGATTATGGAGAATGCACACAAATTCACCAGGAAGCTGATTTAAGGATCGTTAATTGCTCTTAATGATAAGCATGCTGTTTGAGTTTTTACACAGCTCTATAAAGGCCTGTGCAATTATAGAAAATACTGTTGAATTCATATTTGCGTACTCTAATATCTGCAGTGTTTCAGGTTAAAACCTGGATTTGTAATTACGTGGAATGACTGTTTGTGGCAGCGAGTCAGTTCATTAGGTTCTGAGCTATAACCCCATTATGTGAATGACATGGATGATTTGTTTTATTGGTGGCCAACTGACGCTTACAAAGCATTATGACCCAAATTGATGTAACATTTAATTACTACGAGCTGACCCCACCGGGAAACAGACCCACTCACACTCACAGCACACGGTGCACGTACAGGAGAAGCTGTTTCATGTTCAGCGACCAAACTAAAACATCTTCACGTGGATGGTGAAGCACCTGCTAGACGGTAAGCCTTTAAGTCTGCCAGACGTTCTTATTTATTCCCCTGCATGTAAATGGAGCTGTTAACTTCACCTCCGGAAATTCTTCCCACTGCTCAGACTTTTAAAATCACACCAGGCCGGTTGGAGCCATCAAAAACAATCACATAAACCAAACCTTAATGCGTACCTGTGGGCAATTCACCACCACCGCTAGCACACTTCTTACACTTAGTATCATGGTGATCCTGTTTCATCATCCACCATATTTCAGCAGAGACACTATGGAGGCAGACAGCTGGTCTTGAGTGGCCAATTATGTCCGTTTATCTCCCTTCCAGGCACAGCTGTGATCAAACGGAATGAAGAAACAGGATCAAACAGCGAGGCTAAAAATCATTCTTCCGTTTCGTTCACTGCTTTTTGCTGCATCCCTCTGCCTGTTTCTGTCTCTGCTGTCTCTGTTACTTCCTCCCTCTGTACTTCCATCCCTCCCGCGTCTCTCTATATATACACTTCTTAGTCTCACTATGCTTTCCTTGCTCATCTCTCCAGAGAGAACAAAGTAGAGGCATCTATAAAAGTTAACTGCTGAGAAAGCTCCATTCTGCATAGCCTACTGCTCAAAATGTGTGTGTTTGTTCCAGAGATGCTCGGTGTACCTGCAGGGAAACCTCGAGGGGCGCTCGAGGGGGTCCCCAGGAAAATCAGGCTTCACCTGCTGTCAGCAAACATAAAGTAAGAGGTCAAAAAAGAACAGAATATCAACATGTTCTCATATTTAACCCCACTGTCAGCGTCATTTAGCTGGAAAAAGAACAAACTCCAGTCGTTGGCATTGAAGTTAAACACCTCATTTATCTTCCTTGAATGCCACAGAGTTTCCATCTGAATGTTTCCTGTGCTGGACTGCAGCACATGCTTCCTGCTTTGGTGTTGAATATAAATGTGACTAATTTTAAGACAAACAACTGCTGATCAAATGACCTGCTGTTCTTTCTTCTGGACAGGAAAGCCTCAGACCCGTTGCATGCTTTGCACAAAGTCAGCAGTTTTTAATTATTTATAATATTAATCATCTGAACATTCACATCACCTCACACAGGCCTTAAATTACTATAGTTCAGATTTAACCTAATGTAGAAATATCCACAGATAGCCGGATGCTCCACCGTACAGTTTCTCACATCAGAAGTGAATTGTATGTAAAGAATGCTCTCCTTGTGCCTTCTGTACAAAGTGGTTCTCCAAAACAACATTTGGCAATCAGGGCCACTCAATCCAAGTCATGAGATCTGCAAAAGCCCTCCGGAATAAGGCCGTAAAACCTCGAATGCCACCAACCTCCCTGCAGCCACCCCCTTTCGGTTCTCTCTCTCTCTCTCTAGATTTACACATATGCATTCACCACAAAGCAGAAAGTGAAACTCGAGGAGAGACTAGAAGTATATCTCCAAGTATTCAGGTCTTTGCACAGGCAGCAATGAGAAACCAGTGGTAACAATCAGTGTGTGCAGCGAAAACAAAAGTCATCAGTCTCCTGGTAAAGGCCGCAGTAGCTAAGCTCTTAAATTTACGTAAACTGAGTCAGACCACTCGGAGTCCTGAGTGTCCATCAGCTGAGTCGAACTCCCCATACACCCCTGCCTGTGACGATGTAACAGAAACTTTGGGTAACGAGTGTTTTATGTGGTGACAAGTAGGTTCGTTGTAACCAAAGAGACTTAAAACGTCGTCTGTGCTTCAAGTTCACATATGGAAAAAGATTTTTGTGGCTATCCTCCTCGTGCGTAAAGGTTGTCTGGAGACGAAAACGCACACAGCGATAGATTCTGCCTCTCCACATTTAACAGAGCGTAAAAAGCAAATGCGCGTTCCCTTCTCACATCATATTCCCGCTTATGCACTCGAAGGTGAACTCGTGGTCGGGTTACACAGCCGCAAATCCCGTCGCTCACACGGGCTCGGGAGCGAACGCGAGCCTCCGTGGAGCGCCGGGCCGGACCTGATCTCCGGTACACGGAGGCAGCAGTCCCGTCACACCGGCCGCCACCTCTCCGCGCTCCCGGAATGACAGGAAGTCACCGTAAAGAAATGCGTTCAGCTTTTTTCCTTTTAGTAAAAACAGTTTCGAGGAATTTTAGAAGAGCGCAAGAGATGGAAACGTGCTGGAAGAAGAACTGCTGACAACAAAATTACTCCCGACAGGAATTTACAGACGATTTCGATCTGTCATCTTTTTATTACTGAACGTTGTTACTGATGTTTTTAAGACGATAAAATCAACGCTGATTAAACCAGCATCCCTTCGAAATCAGCCCTGGATTAAATTTAAAAAACAAAAAAACACGGCTGGTGACGAAGATACTTCATCTGTAAAGTCATCGTGACAAAATCATTTCTGTTGCCCGTTCGTACTTCCTAACGTTTGTCCCTGCACCGGACCGAGAGAGCTGGCTCACAGGCCGTCCAGCAGCGCGGGTCTGTCTCCTAAATGTGATGAAAGTAATCAACGTCCATCAGCAGTGCGCCGTTTCAGCGCATTACTTGGAACGGAGCGGAGATTTGGCTCGAGCCCGTAGTCACCAATTGCGCAATGATGCTTTCCCTGAATTTACTTTCACTGCACTGAAAGAAAACAACTTTTATTCGTTTTGTGATGTGTAACTGCTCTTGTTTTCTCTTTTTACACCTTGTGTGACGCTTGGATTTAGGCGGACAGCAACAGCATCAAACTTACCTCCTTCCCCGGCTTTTACCGCTGAAGGTAACAGAAGAGCCAAAATACATCCACAGAGCCAAACGAATAAATCCATCTTTCTCCCTCAGAATAAAACACGTCTTCTCCTCCTGTGTGGTTTTATTTGCTTTATCTGACACACGGCTCCAGGTCGCACTTCCCTGACCGTTTCCACAGTTATCTGTTTTTCTAACGTGCAACACGGTTGTGTCCAAAATCCAAACGCCGGACAGCGTTCACCCGACTCTCTAAGAATAACACGCCGGAGAAAATAAACAGTTCATGCAGTGTGAGTGCGTGCCGCCACTTCTCCTCAACCAGAGCAACTTGTCTAGAAATGCAATTTGAACTCTAAACACGGTTTACAATCCATTGCTGTGCGCACAGTCGGCAGCGCAGGGAAACAGATCAGCAGAGTAAATAAAGAAAATTGTGCGTTTCAAATTAACTAGAAACCAAAAAGATCATCAGAGAGCGCTAACTGCGACGGAAACGGGGAAAAGTAACTCGCGTCTTTCCTCCTTGGATTAAAAATATTTCCAATTGTTTTATGCAAATATCTTCAGGCGCATTTTCTTGGTAAGGAAATTAAATGTGTTCCGATCTAGTTTCCCGGTAATGGTCCGTTCATGCGCAAAAGACAACGCAGGATCTCCGAGCAGCTCGATCTGCGTGCGTAAAGCTGGTAGGCAGATAGAAACGTGGTGCCTCTCCGCTGTCCTCCCACAACTGTGCGTGTCTGCGCTCAGACGCTCTGCCCTGTTCCCTCTCTCTCTCTCCCGGTAGTACGCGCTCCTTCCCCTCCACTCTCCGCCGGGTTTGTGGCAGCGAGCAGGACCGCTCACTCAGTCCCCTGCCTGAGTGCGCGTGCACGCCGTGCGCGCGCGCGTGTATCGGATTACAGTAGGCACCTCGGCCCGCCTCCATATAGCCCCTCACTGATTAAAGAGCAATTTCATCTCCTCTCTCTCTGACCATCTCTTACCTCCAACATATCTTTCCCACTCTCACCATTTCTTTCATTTTACCAAATTTCTTTCTGCCTTCTCCCCAAAATGTTCCACTTCATTCTCTTTCTGTGGCTTCATACTTTCGCCTTTCTGCTCACATGTCTTCCTCCAGTCCTCCTGGTATTAAAGGGAATCGAGTTTGAAAGGAGAGAGGCAGAAAACTGGGAGAGAAGATGCCCACAGCACAGCTTTATGAGCTTTGTAGTATAGCACCAGGAGATTTAAGGTACCTGGTGCTGGTTTACAGCATTACAGGGGAAACATTGATCCATGTATGGTTTGCATGTATAGACCAATCAGAACGAAGGGGAATCTTCCGGTAAACTTTGACTCGGGATTACTATGAGAGAGGTTTACTTGTCATGCAGAGCGGCCGTTGTGGTTTAAAGGCTGAATTCCGGGATGCAAAAATTCATACACACCTTTATGCAAACACATAAGCCCTTGTCTACAAGCCAGGGCAAAAAGCTGTTTACCAAGGGCACATGGGTCAGTGCTGAACAGAATCTAAACGAGGGGCGGAGGACAGACAGGAAAGCTATGCAGACGCATGCAAACAAACACTTTCACCACACAAGCATGGACATGTGCTGACACACACTTGCAGCGGTAATGAAGTTGAATGGAAAGGTGACTGGATTTCTGTCTACTTACTGAACACGCAGTAAGACTTAAAACCACTTCACTCTCTTTCCACGTGCACGCTCTCTCTCCCTTCCTTGCTCATTTGCTCACTCCCTGCAGTATAATAGATGTCAGTGGGAGGTGTTGGTTTTAGCAACACCAAAGCCTGTGGTCTAAAAAACCAATCCAATCTTAGCTCTTTGCATTGCCTTCCCAGGACACACCCTACACAAATTCGCACACGGATCCACGCAGCTGAGCTCACCACTGACCACTCAGTGAAAAAACTCATGTGGGAAGTAAACCCCATCAAAACTCCTTTATTACAGAGACGATAATCACACGGCTGCCGATGCGTTTTACATCATGTGCCAAATATTTATATTTCTTCTGACACAAGAGTTTCTGAGAACAAGCAGCTTGAAAGGGGGATGTGGGGATTTTGTTTTCCCAAATCAAAGTCGCGCAGGGAAGCAGGTAAATGTTCAGTCTATATTTATGTTTCCTGTCCTCCAATCAGCAAAATAAAGGTAAATCAGTGATCTCAGCTCAGAGCAGCGACGCACCACACGCATACAGTCACTCAGATGTTTTCTAACATCTCCGGAGGCCTAAAGGTATTGAGTTCTTTTTCCATGACAGATTTCAGTGTGTGTGTGAGAGAGGGTGAGGGAAAGAGTGAGTAACTGTCACCCTTCTCATTGCTCGGGTCCCTCTAGTGTACGACCTCTGTAACCTGCCACTCTCACCCGTCTTGCCTTTTTCGTGCTGTGTCTTTCCACTGAAACCGAAACCGGTCCGGTCCCCTGGAATCTGTCAGGTGATGAAAGCGCACTGCAGTCACGTGGTAATGTCGCCGTATCGTCTGTCCCAGCGCTCAGAGTCACGGTTTGCAAACATGATTTACTCTGAGCAGTCAGGCAGCAGCTAAGATGTTCAGCAGCAGTTTTTAACTCTAAGTCTTGATTCCTAAACATTTTTCAGCTTTTGCATATGACTGAAAAATGTCTTTTTTTAGTGGATTTTAGTTTGGTTCTTTTTTAAAGGACGGGAGCAGAGGATGCTAAAGGAAAATCTTTGGAAGTCTGAGAATCCTTCAGTTGGCGGGAAAAATAACTTCAGCTTATCCACGGCACCGCGCCACACGAGCTCAAACCTTCTGGACTTCCCCTCCGCTCGTTCTTCTTTATGACTGACACAGTGTTGTGAAACTAGGCCCTGCTGATCCATGGCACCTTTGCCGTCTGCCAAACAGTCGACTGGGTTTCCAAGAAGTTACCAATGACATCATCGAGACTCAGTTTTGGGGAAACTGACAGACTTGTTGCTGTTTTGCTCACAGCACCAACCGTGCCAGTGTTTCCACCTCAGAGAGAACCACCTGCCTGTGATGAAGGTACATTTGTTTGCACCACACAACTTGGAGTCACGATAAAGTGACATTTGGGGGGTACAAATATATCTAAGACACTTACCATTGTTTATTATTTAGTTTACAAAGAGTCATTACCATACACTGATGCTTTGGCATTTCTCTCATTGATGCATTTGCCATAAATATTTGTTTCCTTACAGCTGCCAGCTGTGGAGCAGGTGTTAAAGTGTCTGGACTGTATGAACTCCTGAGCTCCTAAATCCAGATGTTCAGCCATTAGTTTGTGTGTTTAATGAATGAATTAAATAGACTGTAAAATGTTTTGAAGAAAATATTTTAAAAATGTTTTATCTTAACTTATTTAACTTTAAAACAGTTAAATAAGTTAAGATAAAAATGAAATAAGAAAAAGTTCAAAGATGCTAGAATAGTTCAGACCGTTTGCACCAAAGACTCGATGGAAAGAAATATCATCTTGGATCGGATATCTTGGATTTTTGGAGGGAATAGCAATCATGTTCAGAACATTGTTTGAGTGATCGGTAAACTAGAAATGTCATCAGAAAACTATGGTCCAGATTCTTTGATCGTGTGCTGTTTCAAATAACGCAGCAAGATGTAATATTTGTCAGTAAACTGCAAATATTACAGCGGCTCCAAACGCCACCAACACCTCAAACACAGATGAGAAGGTTACTTCAGTGTGTAAAGCCACAACAAAGGCCTGCGCCTTGAAGAGAGCAGCACTGAAAGTTAACACATTTTCACCAGCTCACAGTTTTCCCCACGTCGGCTTTGATTTCCAGACCTGAAGTTTACTGTTCAGCCTGATCCTTCATGGAGACGGAAAATCAGTGTGACAGACAGTCTGTGTCTTTACAGGATTTCAGCGTTTGATTGTAAATGTGGGGAAAGAAACCAAGTGTGTGCTCAGTGTGTTCAGCAAAGAGATCGCGTGGACTGAACGTTTGTCTTTGAAAACATCTTTTAAAGACATGAAATGATTAAAGTGCAGCAGAACAGTGAGCACACGTTTCCCTCCTTCTGATTTATAATAAATAAATTGTGTAACTTTTATCACAACAGAGGAAACACTGTGACGCAACACTGAGCTATGACGTTAGCATGTTTGCATTTCTCTCTCTACGTTTCCTGAGTCAGTTAGTCCTGCAGGTAACAACAGACATGTCTTAAGTATAAGAAGTCACTGATGCTACATTTCAACAGTGTGGCCCTGATGAATCATTTACTGCTATTTAGTAACTGTTACACGTTCCACAGTCCTGATCTTTTTACCTGACCTGCTGGGTAAAACATCACCGCATCCTTATAAACAGTGTTTCTGCAGAGCTGTGAAGCCAGCCGAGGGTAAGGCGATCCCTGCTCTGCGTCGAGGGAAGAACTTGTCGGCGGTCTTGTCGACAAGCAATGTCCACACCTCGCCAACACGCTGCACCTCTGCTATTCTCTCTTTCTAGTTCACTTATTCTGACGAATGATTTCATGAATTCATGTCTTTCACTCCATTGCTTTCTCAATTTGTGTTTTCGTCAGCACCATCGCTCTGCAGCGTCACGTCTCTTATTTTGCCACCTCTTTATTTTTAGGCTTTTCTTTTCCATTCACGTCTGCTCTGTACTTTTTTCCTTTCGCACATTAATCGTGTCCTTCTCTTTCTTGTTCGTTGTACTTTATAAATATTATTCTTTCAATATTTATTTCTAATTTTCACTCCTGGTTTTTCATCAAAACAGCACATCTCCCCAATCTGTTTTCCCAGGACCTGGAGTGGAAGGCACATTTTTCCTGGGAGGTGAATGATGTAGATCAGCTCCTTGGCTTTTTCCTCTTTCTAATATCAGCAATATCCATGTTTTTTCAAAGCCCTCCTCCAAAGAAATTAGATCCCAGGAATCAAGTTCAGCTCTGCCAGGTCTGCTGGGAACAAATGAAAATCACACAAACTGTTCACACACTCAGCTAGTCCTGCCTGCAAGGGCCCAGGGCAGCGCTCTCCCCAGATTTTTTGATCCCCTCTGATTAACGCTCTGAAACTGCTTTTCTCCTCTAAAGCTAAAAGCCACCAAAGAGGGATCAGCCGCACTGTGTCCATCAACCTCTCCTCATTTGTGCCTGTGAGCGTGCCAGGGAGTAAATGTTTGGGCAAGTGTCTGTATGTCAACGACTTTAAAGATTTCTGAGTGCATATTTGGAAGCTGTCAGAGTGCTAGATATTTTTTATCTCTGAGTAACTGTGTGTAGTGTCAACCTGTTGACGTCTGAAGGCTCCGGGGACTCTGCAGGGCTGCACTTCGTCCAGGTTTTCACCGCAGTCCAAAATGAAATTTCCTGTCTAAGATCTCTCCCACATGGTGAATCAGGTTACCTCTCGTCTCTTCTTTTATTTTCTCTCCTAAAATCAACAGTCATAAATATGGTCCAAGCACAAAGCCAGAAAAACTGAATAACAGGAAAAAGGGACTCTGTAACAACAATGTGGCACACACGAAATGATGATACCTCACCCACATCTGTCAGCGAGTCTCATAAACACACAGAGTCAAATCAGTTTTATTTATACAAATCATCACCTCAAGGCGCTTCATATTGTACAATAATACATACAGAGAAAACCCCAACAATCATATGACCCCCTATGAGCAAGCACTGTGGCGACAGTGGGAAGGAAAAACTCCCTTTTAACAGGAAGAAACCTCCAGCAGAACCAGGCTCAGGGAGGGGCGGGGCCATCTGCTGTGATTGGGGGTCGCACACAGCAACTGAATCCAGGTGTAATAAATCCTGACACAATCGTGGCGCGCTGCTCTCCCCTACATAA